AAATATAAAGACACAAATAGGTTAAAAGTAAAGGAATGGAGAAAGATATACCATATTAACACTAATCAAAAGAATGCTTCATGCCGGTAATTCCAGCACTTTGCGGGGCCAAGACTAGAAGATCACTTCAGCCCAGGAGTTCAAAACCAGCCTGGGCAACACAGGGAGACCCCACCTCTATGAAAAATAAAAATGAATTAGCCAGTTGTGGTGGTGTGCACCTGTAGCCCCAGCTGCTTAGGAGGCTGAGATGGGAGGATCACTTGAGCTTGAGAGGTTGAGGCTGCAGTGAGCCATGATGGCACCACTGCATTTCAGCCTGGGTGACAGAGATACTTTGTCAAAAAAGGAGGAAGGGAAGAAGGAAGGGAAAGAGAAGAAAAGAAGGAAAGAAGAGGAAAGGAAAGGGAAAGGAAGGGAAGGGAAAGGAGGGGAGGGGAGGAGAGAGGGAGGGGAAGGGGAGTGGAGGGAAAGAAGGAAGGAAGGAAGGAAGGAAGGAAGAAAGGAAGGAAGGAAGGAAGGAGAGGGAGGGAGGGGAAGAAGCTGAGGGAGCTATCTGAATTTTAAAAACAGCAAAATCATCAGCGATAAAGGGGGACATTATGTAATAATAAAAGGGTCAATCTTCCAAGGGAACATAACAATCTTTATCACATATGTGTCTAACAGCTGAGCATCAAAATATGTGAGGCTAACACTGACAGAATTGCAAAGAAAGATAGATAAATCCACTATTATAGTTGGAAATTTCAATACTAACAGTAATTGACATCCAACAAGCAGAAAATCAGTAAAGATATAGTTGATCTGAATAATACCATCAATCAGCTGTTCTTATTGGCATTCATAGATTACTTCATTCAACAACAACAGAATATTCATTCTTCTCAAGCTCACAAGAAACATTCACCAAGACAGATAACATTCTGGACCATAAAACAAGTCTCAATATATTTACAAGGACTCAAATTATACAAAGTTTATTCTCTGACTACACCGGAAATAAATTAGAAACAAATTAAAAAATCTAGAAAAATCCCCAACAATTGGAAACTAACAAATATCTAAAAACAAAACAAAACATCCCCACAAGTCAAAGATAAAACTGAAAAGTAAATTAATTAGAACGTATTTAAAATTAAATGAAAATGAAAAATATATCAAAATTATCAAAATTTGTGTGACGCCACTAAACAGTACTCTGGGGGAAATTTACAACACTAAACCCCCGTACTAAGGAAAGAAAAACGACACTCTGCAAGGCCAACGTGGGAGGATCACTTGAGACCTGGAGTTCAAGACCAACCTGAACAACCTGGTGAGATTCCATCTCTACAAAAACGTTTTTTAAGAAAATTAGCCAGGCCAGGCGTGGTGGCTCATGCCTGTAATCCCAGCACTTTGGGAGGCCAAGACGGGCAGATCACCTGAGGTCGGGAGTTTGAGACCAGCCTGACCAACATGGAGAAACCCCATATCTACTAAAAATACAAAATTAGCTGGACGTGGTGGCGCATGCCTGTAATCCCAGCTACTCGGGAGGCTGAGGCAGGAGGATCACTTGAACCCAGGAGGTGGAGGTTGCAGAGAGCTGAGATCACACCATTGCACTCCAGCCTGAGCAACAAGAGCAGAACTCCGTCTCAAAAAAATACATATATATATTAGCCAGGCATGGTGGCACATATCTGTAGTCCTAGCTACTCAGGAGGCTGAAGTGGGAGGACTGCTGGAGCCCAGGCATTCGAGACTGCAGTGAGCTATGATTGCACCACTGCACTTTAACCAGGGTGGCAGAGCAAAATAATAATATTAATAATGTCTGTTTCTAAAATAATAATAAAAATAATGATGAAGAAAGAACTCAAATCAGTGACTTCAGCTTCCACCTAGGGAACTTAGAAAAAGGAGCAAATTAAAACATGTAAAAGAAGACAAATTATAAAGGTCAGAACAGAATCCAGTGAAATAAAAAATAGAAAAAGAGAAAAATCAATGAAACCTAAAGTTTTTTGAGAGGATCAATATAATTGATAAGTCTCTATCCAGACTCACGAAAGAGAGAGAAGACACAAATTATCAGTATCAGGAATGAGAGAAGACAGCACTACATACTCTACAGATATTAAAAGGATAATAGAAAATATTCCAAATAATTTTACGGCAATAAATCTGACAACTCAAATGAAATGGACAAATGCTTTGAGAGAAACAAACAAATAATGCTCATTCAAGAAAAAATGGGTTACCTGAATAGCCCTACTGTCTAGTAAAGAAATTGAACTCACAGTTAAAAACCTTCCCACAAAGAAAACTACAAGCCAAGATGGCTTCACTGGTGAATCTCCAAACATAAGGAAAGAATAATACTATCTACATATACTCTTCCAAAAAACTGAACAGGAGGGACTACTTCCCAGCTCATTTTATGAGATCTGCATTACTCTGATACGAAATTCAAATTAAGACACTGATATAGTTTGGCAATGTGTCCCCCTACCCAAATCTCATGTTAAATAGTAATCCTCAATGTTGGAGGTGGGACCTGGTGGGAGGTGACTGGACCACGGCGATGGATTTCTCATGAATGGTTTACACCACTCCCTTGGTGCTGGCTTCACCACAGTGAGTGACTTCTTGTAAGATCTGGCTATTTAAAACTGGGTGGCACCTCATTCTCTCTCTTGTTCCCACTCCTGTTATGTGAGATACCTGCTCCCACTTTGCCTTCTGCCATGACTATAAGCTTCCTGAGGCCTCTCTAGAAGTAGAAGGAGTGGGGCATTGCTATAAAGATACCTGAAAATATGGAAGCAGCTTTAGAATTGAGTAACAAGCAGAGATTAGAAGTGTGTAGAAGGTTCAGAAGGAGAGAGAAAAGATGAGGGAAAGTCTGGAACTTTTTAGAGACTGGTTATTCGATTGTGACCAAAATGCTGATAGTCATACACACAATAAAGTCCAGGCTAATGAGGTCTCAGATGGAAATGAGGAATTTATCGGGAATTAGAGCAAACATCATACATGTTTGCCTCAGCAAAGAACTTGTCTGCATTCTGTTCATGCCCTAGGGATCTGTGGAAGTTTGAATTTGAGAGTGATGACCTAGGGTATATGGTAGAAGAAATTTTTAAGCACCAAAGTGTTCAAGATGTTTCCTGCCTGCTTCTAACAGCCTGTGCGCAGATGCAAGAGCAAAGGAATGACCTGAAGCTGGAACTTATATTTAAAAGGGAAGCAGAGCATAAAAGTTTGGAAAATTTGCAACTTGGCCACATGGCAAAGAAATAAAAAAGTTTTTGAGAGAGGATTTCAAGCAGATTTGTAGAGCAACCACTTCCTTGAGAAATTTACATAACTACAAAGAAGCCAAGGGCTGATAGCCAAGACAATGGGGAAAAAACCTCAAAGGCATTTCAGAGACCTCTTCCTAGAGAAATTTGCATAACTTCAAAGATAGCCAAGGCAATGGGGAAAAAAACCTCAAATGCATTTCAGTGACCTTCAGGCAGCCCCTCCCATAACAGGGCAAGAGGTCTAAAAGGAGAGAATGGTTTCATGGGCCAGGCCCAGAGCCCCTTTGCCCTGCAGAGCCTCAGGACACTGCTCCCTGCATCCCAACTGCTTGGGTTCTGCTACGGTTCTAGCCTCAGATCAAAAGGGCCCAGGTACAGCTCGGGCCACAGCTCCAGAGGGCACAAGCTATGAGCCTTTGTGGCTTGCATGTGTTATTAAGCCTGTGAGTGCACAGAGTGCAAGGGTTGAGGCTTGGGATTCTCCAACTAAATTTCCGAGAATGTATGGAAAAGCCTGGGTGTCTAGGCAGAAGTCTGTTGCAGGATAGAAGCCCTCATGCAGAACCTCTACTAGGACAGTGCAGAGGGGAAATGTGGGGTTGAAGCCCCTACACAAAGTCCCCACTGGGGCACTGCCTAGGAGCTGTGGGAAGAGAACCACCATCCTGCAGACCCAAGAATGATAGATTCACTGGCAGCTTGCACCCTGCACCTGCAAAAGCTATAGACACTCAAAGCCAGCCCATGACAGCAGCCTCAGAAGCCCCTGCAAAGCCACAGGGGCAGAGCTGCCTAAGGCCTTGGGAGCCCACTCCTTGCACCAGTGTGCCCTAGATGTGGGACATGGAGTCAAAGGGTATTATTTTGGAGATTTAAGATTTAGTGGCTGCCCTGCTGAATTCTGAACTTTCATGGGTCCTGTAGCTCCTTTCTTTTGACCAATTTCACCCTTTTGGAATGAGAATATTTACCTAATGCCTTTACCCCCTTTGTATCTTGGGAGTAACTAAGTTGTTTTGATTTTACAGGCTCACAGGTAAAAGGAGATGAGTATCAGATGAGACTTTGGACTTGAACTTGGGACTTTTGAGTTATCGCTAGAACAAGTTAAGACTTTGGGAGACTATTGGGAAGAGATGATTGTATTTTGAAATTCAAGAAGGGCATGAGATTTGGGAGGGGCCAGGGGCAGAATAATACAGTTTAGGATTTGTGTCTCCATCCAAATTTCATATTGAAATGTAATCCCCAGTATTGAAAGTGGGACCTGGTGGGAGGTGACTGGATCATGAGGGTGGATTTCTCATGAATGGCTTAGCACTATCTTCTTGGTGCTATCCTTGCTACAGTGAGTAATTTCTTGTGAGATCTGGTCATTTAAAACAGTGCGGCACCTTGCTCTCTCTTTCATTCCCACTTCTGTTATGTGAGGTGTCTGCTCCCACTTTGCCTTCTGCCATGACTGTAAGCTTCCTGAGGCCTCGCCAGAAGCAGATGGTGGTGCCAGGAAACAGATGCTTCCTGTAGAGCCTGCAGAACTGTGGGCCAATTAAACCTCTTTTCTTATAAATTACACAGTTTCAGGTATTTCTTTATAGCAATGCAAGAATGGCCTCATACAGACATTAAAAGAAAGAAAATATTGCATTTATTAGTAGCGAATATAATGATACTGCTTTTCCAGGTAATCCAGGGCTCCCTTACCTTTTCTTCATAATTTGGTAGTTTATCTTTGCATATGGTTATGATGTCCATCCAGGAGTAGTTCCTCTCTCTTCGGATCTTTTCTAATTCTGGATCATTCTCATATTTGTCAGCATCCAGCTAAAAGAGTTAACCCACCACAAACAAGAGCTCAGATTAACAAGGAGATGTAGAAACATTCTCTTTCTGGATCTCCAATATGATTTCATACTCTAAATTTATCATTTGTTATTTTTTCAACCATCAACTAACTCTCTTCATCTCTTCTATCCATTTAATGGATTTTCCATTCTCCAATACACCAGCTATACATACAACGGATTTCTGTTTGATTTCTGCCTCCCTTCTCTGCAACAGTCCATCCCGGGGAATTCTTTTTCCCATTTTGAGATGATGGTCTCACCAACTCAAGCCTGTCTGACCTATCCACAGGTCCCTTACTGTGCCCTGTTTCTCTGCCACCATCCCACTCATGAGTCTCATTGATCCTCAATGCCATCTCTTTGGTCAATTTGTTTCCAGGAGCCAAAACATTGTATGCCCTCACAGCTTGCAAATAAAACTCAAGTTAATTAGGCTGAGTTAATTAACCTTCTATCATCTGGCGCCAGCTGACTTTTCTACTTCTATCTGTTCCTTGTTTCCTACTTTTTAAAGAACTCTACATTCTAAACCAAATAGGATGATTGGCTATCTTAAAAATATTTGATATTTAACATCCCCACAGCCTTGCTCATGACAGTTTTCTGTGCCTAAAATTCCCATTCAACATTTTCATTTATTACAATTCTATCCCTATTAAGGTTCAATTTTACTGTTCCTTCCTTATGAAGCACTTCCCTGACGAAGCTCCAGACACAATTAATCTGAACTCTTAAAACCACTGGCAGTGAATTTAGCACACTTTATGTTTTGCAATAAACTGCACATTGTATCATCACTACTTAACTGAACAACAAACTCCAGTGTTGTGGAAAGTCAGGGACCCCAAATGGAGGGACCAGCTTGAGCCGCGGCAGAGAAACATAAATTGTGAAGATTTCATGGACATTTATCAGTTCTCAAATAATACTTTTATAATTTCTTACGCCTGTCTTTAATCTCTTAATCTAATTCTGGATCTTTGTAAGCTGAGGATGTACGTCACCTCAGGACCACTATGATAATTGTGTTAACTGTACAAATTGACTGTAAAACATGTGTGTTTGAACAATATGAAATCAGTGCATCTTGAAAAAGAACAGAATAACAGCGATTTTTAGGGAACAAGAGAAGACAATCATAAGGTCTGACTGCCTGCAGGGTTGGGCAAAAAGAGCCATATTTTTCTCCTTGCAGACAGCCTATAAACGGATGTGCAAGTAAGGAAGATTCCTTTGCTTAGCAAGGAATATTAATATTAATACCCTGGGGAAGGAATGCATTCCTGGGGGGAGGTCTATAAATGGCCGCTCTGGGAATGTCTGTCTTATGCGGTTGAGGTAAGGACTGAGCTATGCCCTGGTCTCCTGCAGTACCCTCAGGCTTACTAGGGTGGGAAAAAACTCTGCCCTGGTAAATCTGTGGTCACACCGGTTCTCTCTTCTCGAACCCTGTTTTCTGTTATTTAAGATGTTTATCAAGACAATACGTGCACCGCTGAACATAGACTCTTATCAGTGGTTCTGTTTTTGCCCTTTGCCTTGTGATCTTTGTTGGACCCTTATCAGTAGTTCTGCTTTTGCCCTTTGCCTTGTGATCTTTGTTGGACCCTTATCAGTGGTTCTGCTTTTTCCCTTTGTCCTGTTCCCTCAGAAGCATGTGATCTTTGTTAAACTCTTATTAGCAGTTCTGCTTTTTGCCCTTTGAAGCATGTGATATTTGTACCTACTCCCTGTTCTTACACCCCCTCCACTTTTGAAACCCATAATAAAAACTTGCTGGTCTGAGACTCAGGTGGGCATCACGGTCCTACCGATATGTGATGTCATCCTCGGTGGCCCAGCTGTAAAATTCCTCTCTTTATACTGTCTCTCTTTATTTCTCAGCTGGCTGACACTTATGGAAAATAGAACCTATGTTGAAATATTGGGGGCGGGTTCCCCCAATACTCCAGAATGTATTAAAGTACTAGTCATAGATATGTTATTTTCTACAAAGATGACTCTAAAACTTAGCACATCCACTGCATGATATGCACAGTACTATTTGCTATGGTCTGAATGTGTCCACCCCAAATTCTTATGTGGAAACTTAACACAAATGTGACAGTATTAAGGGGTGGGACCTTTAGGATGTGATTAAGTCAAGCCCTCATTTATAGGATTAGTGGCCTTATAAGAGAGATGGAGCTGGGCACTGCAGCTCACACCTATAATCCCAGCACTTTGGGAGGCCAAGGCGGGCAGATCACCTGAAGTCAGGGGTTCAAGACCAGCCTGTCCAACATGGTGAAACCCCATCTCTACTAAAAATACAAAAATTAGCCAGGCATGGTGGTACATGCCTGTGATCCCAGCTACTTGGGAGGCTGAGGCAGGAGAATCACTTGAACCCAGGAGGCAGAGGTTGCAGTGGGCCAAGATTGCGCCACCAGCCTGGGTGACAAAGTGAGGCTCCATCTCAAAAAAAAAAAGAAAAAAGAAAAAAGAAAAGAAAAAGAAAAAAAAGAGAGAGAGAGGGAGAGAGGTAAGGGAGCAGTTTGCCCCCTCCACCACATGAGGACAGAGCAAGGAAATGGCTATCTATGAGGACAGGATCATCATCAGACACTGAATCTGCTGGCACCTTATCATGGACTTCTCAGCCTCTAGAACTGTAAGAAATAAATTGCTGTTGTTTATAAATTGCCCAGTTTAAGCTATTTTTGTCATTTTGTTATAGCAGCAGGTATTTAGTTTATTCTAAAGGGATTTAGTTTATTCAAGCTAAAATAATCTTCCAATTGTATGTATGCGAAAAGGCTTTTTAGAACTCTGTGTCACGAATAACAGATTAGTAACAGATACACAAACATGTCCATTTGTGTTACCTCTGTTAAAAATTATGGGAGATGTTATATATATATATAATGTTTATATGGGGTGTGTGTGTGGTTTTTTTGTTTTTTGGGTTTTTCTACAGATGAGGTCTCAAACTTCTAGCTTCAGGCAATCTGCCCGCCTCGGCCTCCCAAAGTGCTGGGATGACAGAAGCCAGCATGTCTGGCCCAGCAGAGGTCATTGTTTTGGACTAAGCCACTGCACTAGGCCCCACGAGGAGACCAAACCAAAATGGAGCCACTCATGCCATATGCCACATGATCAAACTAAAACTTTAAAGAAGCAGGTGAATCTCAGACCAGCTTTTCCTGAGATCAGAAGATTCCTGTCTTCCTGAATCAGAATAAGGAAGTCGCTTTTGCTTTAACTCTTAGAAAAAAGTAACCTAACGTAACTTGATGTTAACCAATCAGCTGTTTTCCCTATTGTTATGTTTCTTTGTTGCCACCACACAAAACCCACTGTTGTGCTATTACCCTGTGGAGCTCTTATTCTATTTTGTAGAATGGAGGCTGCCCTATTCACGAATCAAGAATAAAAGTCAATTAGATCTTTAACTAAATTTGTCGTAATTTTGTCTTCCGACATCGCTGATCCAGAATGGATATTAAGCAAGCACACAGGCCAGCTGTGGTGGCTCACGTCTCTAATCCCAGCACTTCGGAAAGCCAAGGACGTCAGATCACCTGAGGTCAGGAGTTCAAGACCAGCCTGACCAACATGGAGAAACCCTGTCTCTACTAAAGATACAAAATTAGCCGGGCATGGTGGCATGCGCCTTGTAATCCCAGCTACTCGGGAGGCTGAGACATGAGAATGGCTTGAAACCGGGAAAAGGAGGTTGCTGTGAGCCAAGATCACGCCACTGCACTCCAGCATGGGCAAAAAAAGCGAAACTCTGTCTCAAAAAAAAAAAAAAGAATACAAAAAATACACAGGACATTAAAACCACAGAGTAAACATGATTTGATAGCCCTTTGACTCAGCAGAACTAGACAGTAGAAAAAACTGTTTGAGCCCATGTAATAATCTAAAAGATGTCTATGAAATCTTTTTTTATTCTTTGAATACATTTAGAAGTTAACCTGTAATCTCATTCTTGTTCTTAAAACCCTCAAATGCACAATGAAACTCCCCAGGTGTATTAATGTGAACCCTCTAGTTCTTTGGATTGTGGATAAATTAGACATTATACGCCAAAATGTATTCTCCTCTCATTAATGGAAAACTATAAACCACTTGATTGCTTTGAAGATAGTACCCTCCAGCAAGGTAGGTATTACATCTTTTCCTAGGAAAGGGCAAATACTATGTAAACATTAACACGCATGCCCTGTTTGGCACTGGTATGCCAATTGTCACTTCCCTCTTTTGTTATTTGGGATACAACAAGATGATCTCCAAATATATTATGCTGGAATATTCTTTTCTATAATCCTTTCCCAAGGGAAAAAGTGTGGTAATTGTGTTAACTGTACAAATTGATTGTAAAATCAATCAATGGTCCCGGGTAATCCTGTGTATTTTATTTAAATCACAAGAATGCACATTAGATCCAGTGACCCCTCAGCCTATCCCTGAGATCTCCTCTTGCCCTCTCCTCTGCAGTAAACCTTTGTTACCGCAAAACCACTTGCAAATAAACAAAGGTGAGCGTATCAGGACTGGTGCTGTGCAAGCAATGGGACACCTGTGCAAAGCCTTGCAGCGCCTTGCAAAGCTAGCGTTACAGAGGCAGGGCTGACACCCGGCCCGGCCGGTACCCAAGCCAGCTCCACCGCCTGCTGGAGACGCCCCCACCCCACCACCGACAGCGACCCCCCAGGACCCTCGACAGACCGCAGCAGGACCCCGCCTGGAGCCGGAGGTGCCTGGTCCCTCCCCCAGGACACTTCCATGCGGAGTCCCCCTTCCTCCGATATAAGAGAAACCCCTGGGCTTTTGACCGGGGGCAGCCAGGCGGGCGCTGGGCGTCGGACAAGCCCAAGCATCCCACGAGCTCGCAGCCAGACACCTGCAACTCTCGCAGCCCATCCGGCCGACCCTCTAGGCCGCTGCCAATCCCGGGGCTGCGCGTGCGCAGCGAGTCCCGGGTGCGAAGCCCCTCACTCGCCAACTCTGCTGCTGAGCATGCGCAGCACACCCCAGGCCACAGAAACGGACCGCCGACCCCCACTAGCCCCGCTGCTGAGCATGCGCAGCACACCCCAGGCGCCGGAAGCCGACCGTCGACCCCTTAAACTCCGCTGTTGAGCATGCGCAGCACACCCTAGGCGCTGGGTGCGGACCGCCAATCTCTCAATGCCGCTGCTGAGCATGCGCAGCACACGCAGGCGCCGCGCAGGAGGCCCTGACCGTCCAGCCGCACTGCTGAGCGAGAGCAGCCCACCCCAGGCACCGGGAGCGGCCACGGACCCCCTTTCCCGCTGCTGAGCATGCGCAGCATACCGCGGCTCCCGGGCCGCTACCTGGCACCCGGAGGAGGCTGGGTCGTGCGCATTGCTCGGGGGTCTGCGTCGCCCGCACGCTCTGCGAGCTTTCGGGCCGCGTACCTTCCAGTAGAGCACCCCCAGCCGCCGGAGCTGTTCCAGGCCCACCGGGCGGTCGGGGTCGGGGCGGTGGGGTTGCCGCGGGTCGCCCGGGGCGTCGTCCATGTACCAGGCCTGCACCATGACGCGCAGAGCGGAGACTGTGTTCGAACCGTAGGGCCGCGCTCGGAGCCCGGCGGCCGCGCTTTCTTTTATAGGGAGACGTAGACGCGCCGAGAAGCCGGGATTGGGCGGCGGGGCGGAGGCAGGACCGGCGCGGGGCAGGCCCCACGGCTCCGCTTTTCGGAGGCAAAGGCATTCAAACCCCGGCCCTGCCCTGGGCACCCTCGGACCTGCCTGAGGCCCATGGCCCGGGGTCAGCAGTTCTCCAGACGCGCCGGGGGCTGGGTGAAGCTCATGTTAGGCATCGCACGTGCCTTGTGTATGCCGTTGCCGTCTCCCTGCACCTTCAGAGCAATCTTGTGAGGCAAACGACGTTAAACGTGTTTAGAGCAAGGAAAGCAAATGCAAATAATAATAATAAGGATTTTGTTAAGCTCATGCAACCCATATAGGTACAGTTGAGACTTGACAGCTGGGATCCCAGGTACGGGGTGAGACATTGTCCTCCACCTCCCCGCTCTCCAGACTTTTGCAGTATCGGCATTCTGCAATGCTATCCCGTACTTTTTAAACTTCATGTTTTTTCCTCTTTTCATCGTTTCTCCCTTACCCATACACTGTAATGTGCTAGTCTTTGAATAAAAACAAGCTTCCCCTATCCCATTCTGAATTTTTCAGTGTAGCTAATACAGTCCAGCCGCTTGACCATCCTAGATGTCTTTTCAAACCAACCAACTCAAAAAGATCCGATTATCTCAGCCATTCCCTCAGTGTCTTTAGCAAATAACAATAAAGCATACAGGATTTAAATGAGACTGCTGTAAGAGCACAACCCCAAAGCATGCAAATGACTCTTGAACTTCCAGAAATATTGCACGGAAAATACACACTTCTTTCATTTCTATTCCCTTGCTCTAATGACTTTGCAAATAATCCTCATTAGAGAGCCTACCTCTCCACCTCTTCATTTGACCAGCTTCTACTCATCCTTCGAGACCGCATCTTACACGTCATTGCCCATTTTTCTGCGGCACTCATGACAGCTTCATGCAAGAGTCTAATGGCAATCTCGCACCTCGCATTTTCTCCTTAACCCACCGCGATAAGTCTTCTCTTCTCACCACTGGAGAACTGCTAATGACTGCCATATTGCCAGATCCAATCACAGCACTTCTGTTCCTACCAGCAACTTTCATCACAGTTGCCCATGCCCTTCTTGAAATATTTTCTCATTTTCCTTCATGAGGGCATCCTGGCTGCTCCCTCTCAGGCCCCTCGTAGCTCCTGCTCCTCTAACCACTGGTTGGTGGAGCATTCCGGACTCTCCACGTCCTGTCCCTATCCACTTGCTCCAGGCGACTTTCCATGTTGTGCTGCCGGCTCCTACAGCCACATCTCCATCCTGGACCTCATTCCAGAACCTCAGGCTTGAGTATCCAGTTGGTAGTGTCACATACATGGCTGATAAGTATGTCAAACCTAACATGGCCAAAACAACTGATTCCCCACACACACTCCCAAACATGCTTCTCCCTAGCCTTTCCCGTCTCAGTGAACGGCAGCACTGACTGCCCGGTGGCTTAATAAAAAAATCTAGGTGTACTCTCAGTTTCGCTTTCCCTCACCCTCAAGATCCAATCCAATGTATCGGCAAGTCATGTTGCTTTGACATTCGAAATACACTGCAGATCCGTTCACTTCTCTCCAGCCCAATTCTTTCCGCCATCTTTTCTTGCCTGATGGAATTGACTACTGAAATTGCCCACCGCTTCCATTTTCGCCCCAGTGCAATCCATTCTATGCACAGCACCCAGAGTGACCCTTTAAAAATAGGAGCAGATGCCAGGCACAGTGACTCACGCCTGTAATTCCAGCGCTTCGGGAGCCCAAAGAGGGTAGATCGCTTCACCAACCGAGGAACATGGTGAAACCCCATCTCTACTAAAAATGCACAAATTAGCTGGCTGTGGTGGTTTGCACCTCTAGTTCCAGCTACTCTGCAGGCTGAGACAGGAGGATTGCTTGAGCCTGGCAGTCTGAAGTTGCAGTGAGTTGAGATTGTACCACTGTACTCCAGCCTGGGTGACAGAGCAAGACTCTGTCTCAAAAAAAAAAAAAAAAACAAGCAAACAAAAAAAAACATGGAATCCAGTCAAGCCCCTTTCTGCTTCAACCCTCCTTTCTATAGCCTGGGCCTGACCACCTCCCAGCCCATCGCCCTCCTGTCTTGTTCTCTGCCCTCCAGCTACTTTGGCTTTTCAGTGTATTTGAGTCGTATGCTCCTCCTTCATTTGGGCCCTTCACCCATGCACTTTTTCCACTGAAAACGCTCTTCCTTCCTCCAAGTGCTTTTCTCCTGTACAAAATTCTGATTTCAGCTTAAATATCCCTTTCTTAGAGGAGCCTTCTCTCACCACTCCCTAGACAACCAGATGAGCTCTCCCTTTTAAACACTTTCATAGTGCTAGGTTAGAGTTTGTCAGGACATGTTGACTTAATGTGTTTTCACCATAGGACTGACCACCCCATGTGTTGTTTGGTACTTGCCGAATGAATGGATTTGTCTGCATTGTTGAGTGCCACATATACCTTGTGGTCAGAGAATGTGTCTTATTGGTCCTTCAGTGCTTGGTACATAGTAGACAATTTTTTTAAAAGTTTGTTGAATGAAAATGAAGGGATAGGATGAGGAACACTCCAAATAGTCTTTACTACCTGACGGTAATTGCACTCCTATCTCATGCTTCTCATTCCCTAGAAAATAGTAATAATAAGCTGGGTGCAGTGGCTAATGCCTGTAATCCCAACACTTTGGGAGGCCAAGGTGGGAGGATCACTTGAGGCCAGGAGTTCCAGACCAACCTGGGCAACACAGCAAGACCCCATCTCTACAAAAAATATTTGTATTAAAACAAAAAGAAAATGGTAATTGTGACAATAATAATAGCAGTGTGTGCTGGGTAACATTTTAAAGATTTTATGCATATTATTCTTTTTACTCCTCATGATTACACTATGAAGTTGGTATGACTTATTATTCACATTTTAAAAATGAGACATGGGCTGAGGCAGGAGGACTGCTTGAGCCCAGGAGTTCGAGACCAGTCTGGGCAATGTAGCAAGACCCCATATCATTTAAAAACAAATGAGACAACTAGGACACAAACAGGTTAAGTAACTTATGGTCACACAACCAGAAGTAGCAAAGCTGGTATTTGAGCTCGGAGAGCCCAGTCCAACAGTCTGTACACATAACTGCTAAAATCAAGTACAAGAAGTAATGATACGGGTTTCATCCCATTGTAGAATAAACTTCATCTTGAAATTGGAGGAGTCCTTCCAGTTCCCCTGCCACTCCCAGGCTGCAGCAGCCCCACACCATTGTGTATCTACCATTTGTCAGCCTCTGTCTTCCGTCGATGTTCCTTTTTTCCTATTAGGTATGGGGGAAACAGTTTTACGCCATAAAAAACATACTTTAGAAAAGCAAGATGATCGAGAGGCTCTGAGGAATCTCCAAGGCAGCCCAGCACTTGCTGCTGGCAGGAGTTCAAGTGGCAGCATCAGATGAGAACAGCACTCATTACTACATACGGACATTGCTAGCCCAGGGGATTCCTCCTTTGAAGGGAAATCTTTGGAACTTGAACTATCTCTTCCAGAAGAATAGCCAGCAGTAGCCCAAAAATATGTTTCATGACCAGAATTTATCACCCCAATGTAAGACACTTGGGAAGAATCTGTTTAGATGTTTTGAAAGACAGATGGTCGCCATCGCCGCAGACCTGCACAGACTGTTATCCGTCTGGGCTTTGTGATGTGCTCCCAACCCAGGGGCACGTTAACAAACCGTGCAGGGATACAGCAGAGCCACAGAAGACCAGGACAATTCAAACTGCTGGAATGTGGAACACAGATAAGGCTCTATAGACAGGGCAGCAAGTTTTCTCTGGAAAAGGCCAGATAGTAAATCCTTTAGGTTTTGTAGACCAAGAGTCAACACTGAAGATGTTATATAGGTACTTGTACAACAACCATTTACAGCGTAAAAACCGTTCTTAGTTCATGGAACGTAGAAAAACAGGCAGCAGACTGAATCTGGCTCATAGCCTGGAGTTGGCCAATGCCTGCTGTGCACTATTAATAATACCTAATAATTTTTATCTGATGATCAAGTGTACTTTACTTCTGGCCTTTGGAAAGAACTGCCAAGAGTCTGAGATGTGTACCCTCCTTGCAAGCTAAGAAATTAGCCTGTCCCAGATTCATGGGTGTTAACAGAAGACGTGAGATTACCGACTCAGAGACAAAACACAGCCTATTCTCAGGAGCAACAGTGGTAACAGGGGCCACAGTGTCTGCATTTTTGCACAGGCTCCTGAACACCAGTCCCCACCAGGGGACTTAAAGAGGGATGATACCTGCATTCTCAGTGGGTTGCATTGTAGGGGAGGAACTTTGATCTTGGGAGAACCAAAATATTTTCCTTCAGATAACTGGTCATACTCAGGTATTCAGCAGAAATGCTTCCTGTGTACTTCCCAATTTGTCACAGAGAATGTTAAAAAAATGTCTACTCAAAGGTTGAAATTTAATAAAACCAGTCATTTTTACAGCTTCATTAAAGACATTCTTAAGAGAAGCGGGGGGTTATTTTTGTTTCTGTTGCTTCAGTGCGGGTGTGTGAAAAACACAATGAATGCTGGTACAGTGTGTACCATGGTGTGGCTCTCTTGGGCACGGATTGCTGAACTCGTCACTGACTTTGCACCCATGAGAGCAATGCTCAACACAGAGAAGAAGGTACATGTCATCCTGGCATTGTGAGAAAAATAGTTTTGACTTCAAACATCCCCATATTGTAAGAACCACAGCTCTCATCTTTTTTGTTCGGGGTACTTTAGGTTGCAGGTGATAGAAATCCAACAAGTTGGCCGGGCGCGGTGGCTCATGCCTGTAATCCCAGCACTTTGGGAGAGCGAGGTGGGCGGATCACAAGGTCAGGAGTTCGAGACCAGCCTGACCAACATGGTGAAACCCTGGGTATGCACGCCTGTAATCCCAGGTACTCAGGAGGGTGAGGCAGGAGAATCACTTGAACCCAGGAGGTGAAGGTTGCAGTGAGCCGAGATTGCGTAACTGCACTCCAGCCTGGGCAACGGAGCGAGACTCCACCTCAAAAAATGAAAAAAAAAAAAGAAAAGAAAGAAGTTCAACAAGTTACCTAAGCAAACAAATGGAAACAAAGATATGTTGGATCACA